ATATATATATATATATATATATATATATATATATATATATATATATATATATATATATATATATATATATATATATATATATTTATATATATATATATATATATATATATATATATATATATATATATATATATATATATTTTATATATATATATATATATATATATATATATATATATATATATATATATATATATATATATATATATATATATATATATATATATATATATATATATATATATATATATATATATATAGTATTATGTTTGTTTGTGAAATAAGGTAGAATGTAATACTTTTGTTTCACAACTGTTATTATATACTACATACTTTGGTTTAATCTAAGTCAATCTAAATTGTGTAAAGTTGTGGAAGTTTCTAATCCATCGTTTATAGAACATTTTGCTTAATCATTTGAAATATGAATAATGGTGTTATCAGTAGCAATGCAGCTTAACTTCTTAAAAAGGTTTTTGCCAAACAATTCAGAAACAACCTTGCTACACTATTAAATTAGTAAGTTTTTTTATCACAATCAGTCTAAAAAATTTATCAAAAATTATGCTCTCAAAAATTTATCAAAAATTATTGTCTCACAAATTTATCAAAAATTATTCTCACAAATTTATCAAAAATTATTGTTTCACAAAATGAATAACCACCAACAGCCATCTGACCTTGTACTTGGTATTAGTACGGTGGAATATGTTTTACCTCGTTCAAAGTGGGCTTGTTTAACTCCAATAAAGCCATGGAATAATATTTTAAATTTATTAAATTATTTACGAAGCTTTTTTTTAAAAAAATTCTGTATTTTTTAATTATTTTGTTCTAGTTTTACAGGGGAAAAAATAGAATTAGCCTCACATTAATTTTTTGTTCTAATTTAACAAAAATGGCAGTAAAACAATTATTAAATCTACTTTATTTCTTATTATCTTCTACTATAATTTAAAAATTTATAAATTAGTATGTTTAATTAATTACAAATAGAAAAAAAAATTAATATTATTCAATTTGTGGAAAAAACAGAATTAGCTTCATTTACTTCAAGCAAACTAATTTCTAATAAGTCAATGTAGTCCTGTGAATTTATTTTTGTTAAAATCCATGCCAGTGGAAGTTTTCCAGCAAAGGTAAAAGCCCCCCATAACAGTTCCATTAACAAAATTATGACTCAGCTGAGCTTTTTCCTTTTTTTGAAATTCCTGCCAGTAATATTGATAGCAGGACCACCTAGATTGAACTTTTTTTCATCACTAAAGAGAACTTTGTACCACTATTCCTACCAATACATCTGTTCTTTTGCAAATTGTAATCTAGCTTCTTGATCGCGAACAGTAAGTTTTGGTTTTGGTTTACGCTTTTTCCAAACTGTGTTTAGATTTTCATGTAAGATTTGTCTTACACGTTGAACAGTTACAGGTAATTCTAAATCAGCACGAATTTGAGATGCAGCCATGTGCTGCATCTCAGCAGCAGCACGACGTACAATAGCTTTTTGAGTGCAAATATCAATTTTACATTTGTCACCACTCTCCTTATAAGTAGAGGTGTACCAAATATTTTTGCCGGATAGTGAACTTTTTTCAAGTTCTTTAAATGTTTGTGAAGTAAAAACAAGTTTTGCCATTCTAAATTAAATTCTAAATTAAATAGTGTTCAAAATTTAAAAAATTAAAATCAATAAAATACTGGTATAACACAGGAATATGCATTAATAATGTATAAAGAAAAAATTTTTTATAGCCTTTTTTTTTTTTTTAATAACTATTTTCTATACTTTGTCAGCACATATCCCATGTCATACAGTTTTTTTCACTGATTTTTTAAAGTAAGATCTTGAATGCTATTTATTGTAGACTGGCAAGACTTGTTTTTTCTTCATAAACACATATAGAACTTTAGAAAAATTCAATATCCAGCATATCCGGCAAAAATATCTGGTACACTTCTACTTATAAGTTCAATAATTAACGTCCATCTTAAAGTAATTATTAACCACTTTTGGAGATCTCTTAATTTTCTTTGCAATTTTCCTGATTACATAAGCCTGTATCTTTGTATGCTTTGATTACAGCTGTTTCTTCATTTGTTAAACGCTTACCACGTTGTTTCAAATTCAGGTATCAAAAACCAATACTTAAAAACTTTATGAGCATTGATTTCACAGTCTTGGTTTAACTTACAAATAATAATAAAATATTAGGTTACAAATGCTTATTACCAGATCAAAAAAATACAAGTAAATTGAAAATAATTATTGATGAGGCTAGTTCTATTTGTCACCGCAAATATCAAGTGTTATACATTTTATGGTTTTATCAAATGTACCACAATTTAATTATGCTATATTTTAATCTAAAAAGTTATTGTTTTTAACACCATGTTCTAATCCAACATTTTGTTGTTTTTAACAACAAAATGTTGGATTAAAACACGTTGAGGCTAATTCTATTTTCTCCACTGTAAAAATAAATTTTTAAAAATTGATAATTTTTGATTCGATAACTAATTAAACTTATTTAGCTAACTAACAATGCAAGTGAAAATAAGTTAATCACTTATTTCTACTTAGCATTGTTTATATCTACTTTTTTATGTAAAAAAGCGCAGAATAATATTTCTCGTCTTTTAAAATTAATTTCAAATATCGTCTATTTAGATAGGGAAATATATGTTCTATTCCTAAATATTAGTTACAAACAAAATGCTATAATATAAATTTATAAAAACTCAGATTTTTGCTTCTAGAGCATCCATCTTAAAATCGACACCGATTTAAAAAATTTTTTTTCTAGTCCACAGTGTTCTTGAACCTCTTAAACAAAGGATAGTTAAGCAAAGTATCTCAAAAGATAACTTCGTTCTTAACCATGTCCTAACAACTAAGTGTTTTTCGTTTTGTTTTTCCACTAGTTTCTCGGCTAGCCTTCTAACAAACTTATGACATTCTTTACCCATACCTCCATTTGTACCAAACAGTAGTGGTGTCAAACTGCCATGTTTGACTTTACAAACTCGTTTGCCATACTCCTTTTTTTTTTCCTTTTTTCTAAATATAGCAGAAAAAAAATGCTGTCTGTCTATTTCGCCAAAAACCATTTGCTTTAATATCCAAACGAGCTTGGTTACTTTTATTTGCTGTATGGATATAAAAATTCCCTTTATCAAGGGGTATGAGGTGTGATTCGGATTGAACATTGATGCACACTATTTTAAGCAATGTAGTGAACAAACTTCTTATGTTATCATGGCAGCTTGAAATAAAGTCACCTTTCTTACACGACAAAGCATGAGTTACATTGAAAGGTTCTCCGCATTCACAATTACGAGGGATATTTTTTAAGTTATATTGTAAGGAAAGTGCATCTTGAAATTCTTCTTTATATAAAACAAAACCTTGGTTTTCTAGCGGTAAGGCATTTAACCAGGTGTTTGCACATTTGCTTCTTGTTTGCAGTATGTTTCTTAACATAGTCTCTGGTTGCATTGAATCAACTGCGTTTATTTTCTCATTGCGATGCCTAAGTCTGTCAGTAGATGATATTTTTTCAAGATCTTCTAGAACATTCCCGGAAGAGTTTTTTGTTTTTAAAATCTTGATCTATAATTTACTGTACAAGATTTTTAGTTAATTTCGCAGATGATAAGAACTGGTAAAGCGTTTCTTCAATTAGTATAGGTATACCCAATCCTCCATCTCGAGGAGTTAATGTAAAAAGCTTTCTAATGTGATCCTCAAAAGGAGTATCTTTTCAAAAAGAGTTGGCAACAACAAATGACTAAGTCTTTTGTTAATGGGCGCTAGAAATTGTTCAAATTTTGGAAAAGTTTTTAGAAAATAAATAAATTTTAAATCAAAACCTTTTGTGAACGCAATAAAAGTGGCCTGTGGTTGGTTGCGTCTCTACTACTTTACAAAGTTGTTTTAACTCACATTTTGCTACTTTCTCATTGCATTACTTGTCCTTAAAATTTTGCGAACCAATTACTGAACCCTATGTCGTTGACCCTCTGTAATTATTTAAATTCTTTTAATTAACTTAAAAGTGAAACTAAAATGCTTTCCAATCAAATTCTATTATAAAAAGAATTACAACAATATTATTTGAAAATGTATTACTTATTTTAATGTCTTATATTTTTTGAGTATTTTGTTTTTACTTTTTTTACGATGGGCAATTTTAATTTATTCCAGTTAATATTTATTTACGGAGCATTATTTGTGAAACAACATTTGCGGTGCAAAAATACTAAAGAAAATACAGTTTTTAACAAATCTAAAAAAAAAAAATTTGAATAAATAGTCGATGGGTTTAAATTTTCAATAGATTGCTCAGTTATAATTTATTTAAAAAAATTAATTTGTTTAGTCATATTCATAATAAAATAAATGGACTTTGATGAGAATTTAAATAATTTTAATTAGGTTTTATGTATTTATCAAATTGATTTGACTTAAATATTGTTTTATTTTAATGTCCAGCTGGTTTAAAAAGATTAAAAAGAGTTGTTTTCTCAGAAATTGTTGGTACTTCACAGAAAACTTAAAATTATGCGAAATAAGCTGTGGTGCTGCAAGCAATGGTATTTAGATCCTCAAGTAAAGGAGACATTGCCTGCATAAGCACTTTACGCCAAAAAGTTGACTCTTACGAGCAAAAAAATTAATTATACAATGTTGCTAAGACGTTGCTATGATCCGGAAAAGGTCATTTATGAAATAAATGATTTTGAATGTTTTTGCTTTTTTATAGTTGTATAAAAATAATAAGTAAAAATACCTCGAAGTATAAAAAATAAAAAAAAAGTTTTATTTTAATTTTTTTTTTTTTTTTTTTTTTTTTTGATTTTTATTGGTATACCTTTAAGCTTAAGAACAAGCATTTTCATAACTATTTCATTATATCCTCTATTTCATTTCGCTCTGTTTCACTCTATGTTTTATACATTTATGAAATGTTCATTGATTCGATTTTAATTTTATTTTCAAGCTGGTGAACCAGATCGATTGAACACAAACGGTATGGTATTCAACAATTGTAGCAACTGGTGGACAGCTATTGGACAAAACAATGTTAATTGCAATAAAGATATGTTTCCGACATCGACTAACTACATCTGTTTTGGGTCAGCTAAAGAATTGCTTTCTATACAATTTTTCTTACGCACAAATTTAGAAAAAGTAAATATATTTAATTTTTTTTTAATTTACAATAATAGTTTATCTAAGAATTCTTTTAAGTATTAGTTAACGTCGCTTTTTTATTTTAATTTATTTATAGGAAACTACTAACGCACCATAAGCAGTAACGAAAATTGTCAAGATTAAATTTTTATTATGCTAAACTTCTATTAAATAAATAAACATTAAAAGTTAAACATTTAAAGAGTATGATATATTGAAGATCTGATTTCAATCGAAGATCACTTAATTTTAAATTGTGACGTGTTGACGTGTTGTAATATATAACAGCCTTTTGTTTTTTAATTTTTATTCACATTTATAATTTTTCACTTTTTTTTTTAATATTTGCGAAGTAATAACATTTTGGAGTAATCGAATATTTTTGAGCTTTTACTTTAGAGTTTCATAAATTTTTTGAAACTCAAACAATGAAAAATTTTGAATATGTCCAGTCAGTGGCGTAACTAGGGGGGAGCATAACCCCGCAAAGCGTGGGGGTCCCGCGGAGATTTACAAATTTTACTCATATGAATAATAGCTACGAATAATTACTCATATGAAAAAAGATTCTAACTTATTTCTCAAATTTATAAAATATATATTTTTTACAGGCTTAATCGTGTTATATTAATTTAATATAAAAAGCAAATATTGAATTTTTCATTCTTATTATTTTGAAAAAAATTAAAGTGGGAGAAAAAATTAAAAGAGGGCCCCTTTACTTTTTTGGCGGAGGGGGTCCCAAATTTATAAGTTACGCCACTGTGTCCAGCTCATGTTATTTTTAAAGTTACTGGCTTTTGTAAAATACGCTTGGTTGAAAGTTTTTGCATATATATATATATATATATATAATATATATATATATATATATAAAACTTATATAATAATTTAACTTACATATATTAGATTTCACTCAAGTTCGTTTGAGTAAAAATTTATAAAGTATTAAAAAAGAATTGTAAAGATGTAACAATTTATATTTAAATGTAACAAGTTTTACTGTTTTTGCAAAAAATCCACTTTCCAAACTGCTCATATCTTGTGTTGTGTACAAATTTTCATCCCATCTCTTATATTGGAGAAACTTTTTAACAAGTGACAAACAAACTATTGTTTACCAACATTTAAAATTAATTACATAAATTCTGAATATCTAATTGTGATTGCTTTTGACTTTATTATACCCTACCCCTACTTAAACGATTAAGATACTCTTCCCCTACCAAAATGGAAAATATAAGAAGCTTCACATTAAATATTACTAAATCTTTCACTAAACAACAAACATCTAGCATTGAAAAATTTATCAATCCAAGATTTATTATTTGATTTTAATTATTTTTAATTAATAGATTTAATTGTTTTATTTTTATTTATTTTTTTGACTATTTATCCTGTGATAATTTGTTAAATATTGTTAGATATTCAATGGTTCGTAAAAGGTTTATGTGCCTTTTAATATTTCTCTGTTATGTGTTAAGTTTTAAGTGGAATTAAAAGAAAAGTTCTTTGCAAATAATTCTGCCTTATCCTTGGGAGAGGTAATAAGATCAGTCCCATGAATGAGAGATGGAATGTTAGATCTACCCTTGTTAATAATGCTGTTGAAGATTTTCCAAAAGTCTTTAGAGCCTAACTTCTGCGATAAGATGCGAGATTTAGTGAACTGAGAATAATGGAGTTTAGCATCAGAAAGCACCTTTTTACATCGATTTCTTGCAATAATAAATAGCCGTTTGTTCTCAAGAGAGTTGTTCTTTTGAAAAAGATGAAAAAAATGATTACGATTGGATATAGCAGCCGCACAAGAAGGAGAAAACCATGGAGTAGAATGAGGCTTGACTTGAAACCGACGCGAAGGAATGAAAGCACCATCTCTAGCCTTTACTCAACCAAGAGCCCCAAGGTAGGGGATGTTTAGCTGGATGCAGTTAACATCTGCCCAAGATGAGTGTTTTTATCGAAACACCATCTCCAGCCTTTACTCAACCAAGAGCCCCAAGACAGGGGAATTTTTAGTCGGAGTTTATTTCTCCTAGCCTTTGCATAAGAAGAGCACACTCTGCAAGGCAGCAGGGCTTGTGGCAGGTAATACTGGGTTACGTGATACCAGTAGCAAGATTGATCTCGATTATCCTGACCTAACCTGGAGTAGTTAAAAGGAGCTACTTCCCGCACCAGTACTTTGAGAAAACCAGGCATGACATTTTGGAAGTGCATTAGGAAAAACACTCCATCTAACAAAATACAGGAGTTTAAGGTGAGTGTAGGTTTTGTAGTTGGAGTAAGTAGTTAGTTACTGAGCTCACGCTGCATTAGAGTATAAACAGAATACAAACAAACATAAATCAACTTACGGGTGAGTCAACACCGCGCCAGAGGTTCAGACAGAACACAAACATACATAAAAAACATCAAGTAACTTACGGGTGAGCGAACACCGCGCCAGAGGTTCAGACAGAACACAAACATACATAAAAAAACATAAAAAATATAAACATAAACATAAAATAACTTACGGGTGAGCGAACACCGCGCCAGAGGTTCAGACAGAACACAGACATACATATAACGTAGATTACAGGTGAGCTAATACAGTAACTAAGGCACCTCCAACTATATGAAAAAAAAAAAAAAAAACTACTTTAGGCATGACTGATATAAGATAGTACTGATGACAAGAAGAACACTCCTTCCAGCTTTTGCTTAGATAGCAAATCCTGCAATTCACTCACACACATAAATCTTAAAAAAGATGTTTATATTTTTATCTATAAATTGTAATTTTTATATAAATAAATTGTATATTTTTTATGTTTTTTATTGTATATTACTATATGTATTAAAAATCGACTTTGGAAATATTGCAGAGTTCAACAGACAATTTTGTTTTTTTTGGAAATTCAATATACATTATAACCAAGTTTAACCACGTTTAATAATATTTTGCGATATTTTCTCTAGCGCGTTTGAGTGTTGATTTAACGTTATATTTCAACCTTTACTCGACGTCTTTGAGTCACGTTAAATCAACGTTTTACTACCAACGTTACAAATCCTTGCAAAATCAACTGCTTTAACAACGTTAAAGTAACGCTTTTCAAGTAACGTTTTTTCAACGTTAAGTTGCGGCGCCTATGCAACGCTTTTTAAGTAACGCTTTTTCAACGTTTAGTTGCGACATTTTTGTAACGTCTTTTAGTAACGTTTTTTCAACGTTACGCTACAACGTTTAATCAACGTCTCTTTAACAACGTTACATATCTTTGCAAAATCGATTACTTTGTCAACGTTTCCGCAACATCTTTTGCGACCGATTTTCAACGTTAATTCAACGCTGACATGTTAGCTGGGTTGTTAAAAGGCCAAAGCCAAGATTAAGGCCAAATGTTACAAGGACAAGTTTAAGGCTAAGAGTTTTAAGGTCAAGGCCAAGAATAAGAGTTTCAAGGCCAAGGGCTACACAAACTTTTTCAAGACCAAAAATCTAACCTTGTTTTTTTCCTTTTGTAAGCATCGGGCTGAATGCATTCATTTGATATTATAAAAATTGGAAAAAGAAATCAGAAATATACCGTTTTAAACTTCGACCATATAAACTCAGTTTATATGGTTGAAGGTTTTAAATATTCCTGTTTTAATTTTTGTATTGATAAATTTATTTGTTATAATTTGATCTATTGATAACTTGCTTCATAACCGCAAGTTACGCAAAGGTTAGTTTATTAATGCAATGTATCCACTTTGAAAAATGGTGTTATCGAACTAATTAATTTGTTTATTTACGTCATAATCTAAAATATTTAGGTTAATGTAGTTCACAAAATTTATTTAAACTTTTATTTAAAATTTGTTTTTAATTACATTTTTAATTTGATCTTCAAACGCATTAGCTTTTCCTGAAGGTGGTCTGTACAACGCATGCACGATAATGTTTTTTAAAGTTTTATTGATGATTTCACAAATAATGACTCATAATCATTAGTGGTTGTAATTAAATTAGAATTATAATGAATTCCTTATAAACATACATAAACCCCCGTCTTCCTTGCCCAAGCCCAAAGTTTGTTTGGCTACATTGTAACTAGGACTATAAAAATATTAATTGCTCTCAACATTTTCATCTTGACACCGCGTTTCACTGAGACAAGTTATTTGAAAATTATTTTGATTTTAAATAAAGACTGTTTTAAGGATTCAAAGTTTTTATTTAAACTCCTAATATTATTTTGGAGAGATGAAAATAAGTTAACATCAATGATTTTTTTATTTTAAATGTTTCAAATTCAGAGTTTGACAAATCAGTTTTCTCAGTTATTTTTAGTTTAGAGTAATTTTGATAAAGTTTTACTGATATGAGTAATTTTTTTTGTGGGTATTAAGGTGCTCCCAGGTGATCCTATGTTTTATCACAGAGCACCGTAGAAGAGCATTTAACTAAGAGGTTCACGCTTCCTTCCTTACAAATGTCGATTATTGGGCTAGAGCCGGTTTCGAACCACGGACCTCTTGGCTCTGAGCCAGAACTCTAACCACTGCGCCGCAGCATCACATTCAAATTTATCTCCGACACATCTAAAGTGGCTCTATTTGCTGATGACACAACATTATACACCTGTTTTGACAAAAAGTCATTGCTTTTTGATCGCTCAGAACAAAAAGTCGATCGTGGATCTAATCTCTGAGAAGGGTCTTAAAGTTCAAGTTATAATGTCCATCTCCACTTTATCTCAAATTTATATGCAAAAAACTCTCTAGATCTTTTTTCAAATTTTATACTGCTTACATCAATTAATTAATTTTTCGTAGAAAAAAAATATAAAAAATTGCATTTTGTGTCAATATATTCATACCCGGCTGGAAATAGTGTCATTTGTAAAAATATGCATATCCGGGATATACAATATACAACCGGAAATACATATGTCCGGCACACCTTAACTTTTTGAGACTCCAATTAATTCTGTACCCTAGATAAGGTATTTTATTAGTAACCCTGTAACTAATATTACTATGTAATGTAAACTTTATAATTGGCTCCGCAAAATTAGTTTTTGCGTTTGTAATTGTTACCGGTTAAAATGAAACCAATATTTTGAAAATAAAGAAAATCCCGTGAATATCTGTTTTACTTTCATTGAAAACTGTTTATCTGTTGTTAATAGATATCTTGAGTAATTATTTATGTAAGCAATATAAAATAGATTTAAATTTAAAGAATTTTTAATAAGACCCATACTTTAATTTCTTTTTATGTCACTATATTGGTCCTATGAAATTAAAGATCAAGTTTGTTAATGGCTCATCATGGATGTTGGAACTTATCGATGCTTGTCTCCCTTTACCGAAAGTGAATGGGAGCTATTGGGATCTCTAAATTCAAGTAGAAGTATCGAAGATCTAGATCATGAAAACAAAACGAAACAAGTAGTAGTTTTTGAATTATAAGATTTTTTTAATTGTTTAAAAAAGTTTTACATAAAACAGTATTAACTTTACTAACTAGTTTGTTTATAAAAGTCACACGTAAATGTTTACTTAAGACTTGAATAAAGTGCATACGAATGCAACAATAGAGCTGAAAAGTTGTGAGTTTAAGCTTCATTGCAATATTAAATTTAAAGAAATTCAGAATATTTTTTAAATTGGTTTTTAAACCAATAAAATTGGTATTTTAACTTATAAAAAATTATTTTAATTTTTTTTTAAATTCAAGATTGCAATAAAGCTTGAAGTTACAAATTTTCAACTCAGTTAATATATCTATATATACCTGATTCAACTGTTGATATTTGATCAATCGTCAAATGTTCCACTGATTTTAATACAAAATACAAATACATTTTAAAAACAGATAATCATAAAAAAAAAAATCAGAGTAATTTAAATTTTATATTCTTTTTAATAAAATATAAATAAAATTCTTCTTTTCATTAAATATAATATTTAAAAGAATATAAAAATTTAAAATGTAAAATAAAAAAAATGCAAATTTATAAAATTCAAATTAATATAGTTTAAAAGTTTTAAAAGTATAAAATAATTTATATGTTTATGATGCATGATATTTACTTTAAAGACTCTTTGTTTACTTATTGGAACAATATCATAATTATACAAAAATAATAACTGCATTAAATAAATAATAGCTATAATAATGATAATAATAATAATAATAATAATAATAATAATAATAATAATAATAATAATAATAATAATAATAATAATAATAATAATAATAATAGCAATAATAATAGTAATAATAATAATTGTAAACAACTGAAATAATCATCTATAACTATTAACAATTCCATACTAAACAATAAGCACATTAATGCTATAGAAAAAAATAGTTATTAAACCTGTATTAAACAATCAAAATAAAATAAATGAAAATTGTCTTAGGAAAGTTATTTAAAATCAAATTAAAATGCCGCTTGTATTTAAGTTTTAGTCGAATGTAACTTGCAGAGCAGCCTATTTAAATGTCTACTTGCAAACTAAAGAATAATAAGAAGTACTAAATGATAAAAAAAAATATTTTGAGGACAAATAATTTTAAATTTAAATATTATAATACATAATCTAACATTTAAATCAAAAATATAAAAGCAAGTTTCTGAACAGGATTGTCCTATATATAATACAAGGTTCTGAATTAAAAAACAAAAAAAGTCATTTGCTACACTTGTACATTGTGTGACTTCTGTAAATTGAATCAACTTGCTAAAACTTATAATGTGTTCAATAAATGTTCTAGAATAGTATTCAGTTCACTGGTTCAATGCATAGACTTTACCGATATACTTCCAGTTAAAATAGATAACTATTTGCAAGCTAAACATGACCATCATTCTAATGATTATTTAAATATATATATATATATATATATATATATATATATATATATATATATATATATATATATATATATATATATATATATATATTGTTAATGTTTGTTTTGTAGAATATTCTGAAAAAAGTTTTTTCAAAAGGAATCTTGTTTTAACTGTTAATTAATTATAGAATGGAAGGAAATAGAATAGAAGATAATTTTATATACTTTACATAATGGTGTTAAACTTAAATAAATAATTAATGGTCTACTAAATGGAAGAGCGAAAATAAGTTTTCTAATAAATATTCCTTAGTAACAAATTTTAAATTTATTTTAGTGTTAAAATAAAAAAAAAGCTTTTGGTATTTCCTATAATAATACCAGTTAACCTATTTTATGGAATTGCAAATACATTTGAATCAAATACAATTATTTAAAAAAATTTGTAATCAAATACAATACAAATACAAATATACTATGTTAGTCTATGTTACCAAATACAAATTCAAATGCTAATATGTATTTGACCCTAACCCTGTGATCAATAAAGTAATTTTTTTATATACTTGATGATTTTTTGAGGCTCCACCAGTACCTTATAAAAATATCAAAATTTAAAATATCAAAAGATTTTAATAGTTTTTAACTTTGTTTTTTATTTTTACTCCACAATTGTGTGGTTTATAAAATTTCTTATTTAACTCATAACTCTTATTTTATATATATATATATATATATATATATATATATATATATATATATATATATATATATATATATATATATATATATATATATATATATATATATATATATATATATATATATATATATATATATATATATATATATATGGCATATATAGTTAGGGTTTAGTATCAGAATTTTATTTCCCTGTGTAGGTTTTCTTTTATAGCTGAAAAGCTTCACTTGCCCCATTATAGGTAGTTCTCGCGTGAAATATTATTTTTTAAATCAGCCCTTTATTCTACTTATTTTGAGAGATTTTTGAAAAAATATATTTTGTGTACTAATATTCATGCCCTAAAATCTTTGATGACTTATCTTTTATTATTTTATTATTCTAGTTAATGAATAACAATTTCTGCCTTTTTTTCCTCCTAAATATGCTCCCCTCTTTTAGTTGAAGGCATATTATTTTAGTCCAATATTGAACTGAGATATCTAAAGATGAAGTTTTAAACATACTTTATTCTAGATATTTTTCTATAGCAATGATATGTAAATGTTTATATTTTTTAAGTTCATGTGAAAGAGCATTACTTAAAACCTCAATCTGCGTAAAAAAACTAAATTTTTTTGTACAATTTTGCAACATTATGCTTTCATCCACTTTATGTCTTCAATTTTATGTGTATGGTTTTAGGAAAATGAACAACGTCTTTGTGGATACCTGTTAAAACTAGGTGGTATGTTAAAACTTTTGTGATTTCTTAAAAGTATTAATTTACGTTTTACTTACTGAAATTTTAAATTGTCATCATCATCAACATCATCATCATCATCAGCATCATCATCATCATCATCATCATCATCATCATCATCATCATCATCATTAGACGTATTACACGATAGATTTGCTACATACTTTATCGGTTAAGGAAATTTAGACATTTTTGCGGAAAAATAGTTTATGTAAGTATTTTATACTTATTATCATGTCAACTTTTATCTTTATATTTTTATCTATAATTTAAGCATTAAATTTAACTTTTAAAACAATATTTCCGCATTTTATTTTTTTTTTATGTAACATTTCTATATGTGTGATAAAAAATGATCAAATTGCAGTGAAATACAGTGAAGGGAAGTGATTCATATCGGTATCCTTAATAAGTTTACCTTTACACATCATTCATCTCCTTTTATCTATACAAATATTCTAAATTTTGAGAAATAAAGAAAAAAAAATTAATTTAGGATCAATCACACAGTTAATATAAAGTAGTCGTAGATTTTGCGTATTTTATAAAACTTTGGTTTTAAAAAAAAGTATTTTTTTAAAACTGGCTGAATGTTAGGTTGCTATTTTCCAGTTTAACTTTTTTATATAAAAGATTGAAGATTCGAAAAAACTTTGAAATTATTTTTGTGATTTATCTTTGTTAAATATGTTTATGCTCTCGTTATCATTTTGAAATTTTTTAGATTTGCTACTATTTTGTAGCAAATCTAACCATTTTATGAAATTTTTTTTTTGTGTGCTTTATTTTCAATTTTATACAAAAAATTGTTAGAAATTTTGACTTTTATATAGCTACAGTAACATTACACGCGGTATTTGAAATTGTGAAAAAGTGATTATTTTTCTTTGAGGTTCTATAATAGGAGCATATTCATCATTCCGTCGGAATTAGAAATGCTACTAAAATGCAGCATTTCTATTTTTACAAAAATTTTATGAGAACTTTATGAGAAATAAATAAATTAACTTAACTTTAAAAAAGGTTACTGGGGATAAAAAGTTAATATTTTACATATTCAACTATGAAATGTTTTTCTATTATTATTTCACTGATTATATATATTGTAGGGTTCTTTAATGTCTCACTCTGCAGATTTTAGATAGGTTTGCTACATACGAGCGATCCTGGGTTCGTAAAATGTTGAATGTCTTTTATGCATATATTTTTATTCTCCTTGACCACATTTTTTTCTGATAGTCTTTTAGCCATTCAAACAACCATCATTTGCAGAAGTAGAGAGATTTGAATTCATTTGGAGAGAATGAAAAATATGATTTTTTTTTTTGTTTTTCTTCTTCTGAGTTTTAATTTTGCCACTTATAAAAGTCATACTACTTATCTCGATATCTATCTGCATTTGATTTTCTCTAAACGTCATTTATAATCTGTCGTCATTTATAATCTGCCCTTAGTATCACATCTCTAGATCCACCTGGCTGGACAGATCCGTTGATCACCCGTATTCTTTTTTTTTTCACTGATTATAAATGTTCTAAAGTTTTCTAGTAATGTGCCGTAATAGCACAGTATAAGCTTTATAAAAATGTGTTATCCCTATAGCAATTTTTCTGAAATTCAAAAAATGTAAATATAAGTGATCATGTTCTGATCTGCACTTGAACGTGTAGCATGGAATTAGATATAAAAATAAAATAACAAATAAGAATAACAAAAAAAGAATAAAAAGCGCACAAGGATATAAATTTAAAAAAATGGTAACCCAACTAATTCACATGCTATAAAGGTAAGATAATTTCATTAATTTTTCTGTGTTATAAATGATTCAAACTGGTCCAATAGTTTCTCTAAATCTGATATTTTGGTTACCTTATTTCTGACAATAACTAACGCCAGACTACTAACTTTTATTGAAACTTGATAAACACTTTTTCAATTTAGAATAAAGAAACGCCGCTCTGTCACTGCTAATGTGCAAAATAATATGCAAGCAATTCTTAGTTTCAGAATCAAAAAGATAAATATTAATATAATAGCACATCTTTTTCTTCCAGTTCCTTAATTCTGTTTAGAAATCTACTCACAATACTTAATCGTAGTCAAAACCAGAGGTAAAAACTTTCTAGACTCTTTTCAGTTCTGTGTTTTAATTTACCTTAAATTTCAAAATTGCAAGTCATATTAATTAACCTATCAAAGGTAAAGTAGATCGCCATTATTGAATTAAGAAACATTACTTATGAACTATTTAAAACAATGAACAAACAAGCAATCAATTTGTTGAAATATTATAATTTAAAGGTAATAACAACAAGGATGGTATTTGCTAATTAAAAATCGTATTTGCATTTAAAATTTTTAAAAAAATAGAAAATAGTTTTATATTTCGTTTTTATATATATTAAATCAACACATAGGGTAAAAGAGTCCTTGTCATGCGTCTTGTTGTCGCCACTTGGTCACTAAAAAACATGCAGAGCAAAAACTAATTCCTGGAAAGTTCCGAAATTGTATCGAAAAAAAAAAACTCTGTTTGCTTTTTAAGTGGCAAATTTGTGACAATCGAGACTTTAAAAATAAAGACACAATGTGACAACGATTGCGGTGACGAACTCTATGTGTTATATTTTATGTATTATTTGTAGTAAATATACTAAACTATCAACATGTATTTTTTTATATTAAAAATACGGATAACTACATATTATTTCTTTCCTGGAAGTAAAGTTAAAATGTCAAATACTTGTAACTAAAAATAATATATATCACATTTTTTATTTTCAATGGTCATCAGTAAAAAAGCTCAAAATTTTTTATTTTTAATGGTCAATCAGTAAAAAAGCTCAAAACATAAAGGAAATAAGTAAACATAGTTTATTCCAAAAATATATTATTCTCAGTAAGACATATATATATACATCCTCAGTAAGAGTTTTTTAATATGTTTTTTTTGTATCTAATTTTGTTAATAATTTTATTAATTTCATATTTTTCTAATAACTGCTGACCATGGTCAGTACTTTCTAATTTTTGTCTGACTAAGCTTTCTATAATTGGTAAACATCGACTAATTTCTTTCTTGAAGATAACCATTAAGGTACATTTATCGCCATGATCCATTTCACGAATTTCACAAATTTCATCATCAATCCTGGAGGCATCTGCATTTATTAATTTTGTTAGCAATAACAGTTTGTCATAGATGGATTTTGGATTCCTAATTTGTAGAATTGGATTGTCTTTAATTTTTTCATGAATATACGGAATATAGCAACCTTAAAAATTATGATCCTTAAAAAGATGCAAAATTTCTGCAATTTCATTTGGGGTCCATCCATGTTTTATCGTACTAGCTGTTGGCTCGTTAACAATATTATTAAAATCTTGATAAGAAAGGTTTTCAGCACATTTATTCATTTGGTTTTTACATTCGTTTGGAATCAAAAAAATTTTTTCAATTTTATTTGTTAATTCAGCTGCATTTTTCATTGTCTTTATGAGATTGTAATTTCTAGCGGCTGTTTCTTTTTTATGTTTCATGTGATTTGCCAGGCTTTCTTCAAGGCCATCATTTATATCCTCAGAAGAATAAAAAGTGGTAGTAATGCTTTTTCTAATAAGAGTTGCAGAAACTGGACAAACCCTGTTCGATTTGGTAGCTTTCTTCCAAAAGGAATCAAGTTGTCTAGAAAATCCATTAAGAGATTTGAACGACCATGTCACAAACAAGCTCTTATCTGGATCTGATGGGTTTTTATAATTAATTTCTGCAACTTTGGATCTGAAGAAATCATCATAACATTTCATTTGACTATTGATTTCAGGCGTTAGTACAACTTGGGCTGATCCGTACTTTCGTTTAGTTTTATGATATTTGACATTTATTATAATATTATTAGTGCTGTTATCAACTTTTCCATTTTCAAATTCTCCGAGAAGCATATTAATGCAATTTCCAGCACGAGCCAAATTTTTTAAGCAGCAAATACTGGCTAAATAATCTCTTACTAAAACAAAATTATCTCTACTAAAATCATTACTATCGCATATTATTGGCATATTAAGCAGCTTTCTTGCTTGAAGAGATACCTCTGAGTTATATACCTTTTGAAATTCCTCTGGATTGATCATATTAACAAGATCTTTTTCTAAAACTTCCCATTCACGTTGATCAACCTCATCAAATTTGACCTCCAATTTTTGACATCATCAAAAAATTGACCTCCAATTTTTGACATCTTTTAATAACCCTTTCATTGTATCTAAATTAATTGTGCACGGTATAGATATTTTTTTTGCCCAAGAAACCGTTTTTTGTCTGATCAAAAACTATAAATTTGCTGAGCAAACCAAGATATGACCTTAATGTTCCTGGTAAATGTCCTTTACCGCTTTTACCTTTACCTGGTGCTAATGCCCATGGCAGCCGTGAGTTTTGCAGAGTGTGAATATCAAATAAAGAATCAAAGGATGAAAGTGAAGGATTAACACAATTAAGAATTGATTTCACTTGATTTTTACATTGACGAGCTGGTTTTTTTTTCTTTTTCCCACCTTCAAAACCCAATAAATGATTTTCAAAAGCATTTAAAACATTATCAACTGATCCTTCATCTCCATCTTCGAATACAAAATCATCTATAGACTCATCTGTTTTGTCTGCTTCAACATTGTATTCTGAATCGCTATCTGTTGATAGCGATTCGGAATACAAAGAATCTGTTTTATAGATGAACTTTTTGTATCCACTACAATTACTTTCTGAAGAATTACTTTCTGAATGGGTAGAACTATCTTCTTATTCTCTATTATTAGATTTAAAAATAGATACAATTTTTTCTTCTTCATAGCCAATCATAATTGTTGCTTTATTTCGCATTTTACCATAAAGCTCTGTATTATTAAATAATTCCGAATGAGACTTTTTGAAGTGATCTGACAATTTTAAGATAACTGAAAAGCATCCATCAACAGGACAAATTCTCATTTTTTTACGATAATGTATATTAGCATTGTTACTTTTGGAGTTTCGAAGTCCGAAAATAGATACTATTTTAGGAGCAGATTTTTTCAACAAAAGATGATCACTTTTTTTAGGTAATTTTATATGTCTTGGCAAGTTAACAACCTTTGCCCCACACCCTGGAATAGGACACAACTTCTTATTTCTTTTTGGTTTTTCTGCACTTTTGTGTTTTGTTCTTTTATTGACTAACTGCCAGGAAGGTTTCTGAGTATCTTCTGAATGACGTTTTGTGTAGCTATTTTTAATGTTATTATTATTAACTATGGTATGAATTTGAGAACCTATAAGAAATAATAAAATAGATTTGAAAAAAAAAATTAGCAGAAGAATTTAAATAAATAAAGATATGTAATAAAATATAACCTAATTTTCACAAAATTCTTTTAACTTTAGTTACATCTGCAACATCACATTTATGGTGAAATATATTCTGAAACAATATATTTTTATAATCATTAAAAACTTTTCTTTAAAAGAAATAATAATTGATATTACTCTCACATGCTTAATTCAATAAGGGTAAAGGAACCACCCCTCCTCCTTTACAAAGGTAAAGGAGGAGGGGTGGTGGGAGAGGGAAATGGGAATTTTAACATGGTCTAATAAAGAAAGGGGAATCTTAATGAGAGAGACAGTGAGAGTTTTTCTTTACAAAACATGCATAAAACAAGTTAATTGTGTGTGTTAATTGAGTGGCTTTCAATCAAATGTTTTACAGCTGTTTAATAATTTCAATAGGATTTATTATGCTTATGTAAGTTAAATCTATGGTGAAAAATAAACGAAAAATTAATTTTAACAAATCAAGATTTACAAGATTTTAAAAGCCTGATAACACTAAAAAATTTTATTCTTATCATTGATATATATATATATATATATATATATATATATATATATATATATATATATATATATATATATATATATATATATATATATATATATTTTCTAATTTTTAAAGTGTGTCTAACGTTGATTTTTTTTAAAACTTGAAATATAGATTTTTTGTTGATACCAAGTAAGCGTTGATAAATGGAGAGGTCTTTATAAACTTGGGTTGGGTAGAAAAAAAATTCAGAGAATTAAAAAATTTCCCCTCTTGTGTATTAAGCATACTAGAGTACAGAGTTATTAGAAAAAATTTTAAAAATGATTGAATAAAATATAATGATCACATATTTATAAATAAAATATAATGATCACAAATTTATTTAGCATAAATGTATAAAAGGATTTTATTGCCAGAGACTATACTAATTACTACTGAACTGTAGAGGATTTTGTAGAGGATTTTGTTTTAAAAAATATATACCTTTTTAGCACAAAGCAAATCCATTGTACAATTAACTTTATTTTCTTGAACGGTTAAGGTAAAACTAGCTTCATTTGCATAACTTTTCTAATTGAAAAAAATTGAAAAAAAAAATAATAGTAGAGAAATATGAAATGAAATACGAAAGAAAAACTGAGCTAATTAATAAATTAAAA